TTTACAACGGACATTTGGGTTACTCCAACAACTGGAGCTAGTTATATGGTCATCACAACACACTTCATTGATGTAAGTTGGTAGTTGAGTAAGCTCATCAACGGTTTCAAACACGTCTCAGATCACATTGGTACAACAATATGCTTTGTCCTTCTTGAGTATTTAGCTGAATGGGGAATCAAGAAGATATTTACAATCATTGTTGACAATGCAACTGCCAACACCAATGACAATGCAACTGCCAACACCAATGCACTAAAGAAGTTTGAGGAGGTTTTTTGCTTACAAGGAGTTGATGCGCTGGTTCTTGAAGGTGATTACATGCATATGCGTTGTTGTGCTCATATCATTAATGTGGTTGTTAGAGATGGGCTACTAGAAGTGGATAATAGTATCTCTGCAATTTGGGATGCGGTTCTTTATGTGAGAGTTCCAACAAAAGAGTTGAGACCATATGGAGCTCAACTTACCTGATGCTAACTAGAGCTCTTAAGTTCAGGCTGGCTTTTGATAGAATAAATATGGAGGATAAGTTGTACAATGATCACTTTATAGAGACTGTTGAAGGAAACAAAAGAATTGGGCCACCTAGTGTCTATGATTGGGATGAAGTAGAGAGGTTAGTCAAGTTTCTGATTATCTTCTATAATTCTACTTTGGTTGTTTTTCCTTCTTCTACTGTGAGCTCCTACAAGTGTTACAATGAGATAATGACTATTCACAAGAATCTGGAATCACTATGCAATAATGAGGTTAAAGGCCAATGCTATAAGGAATAAGTTTGATAAATATTGGGGAGGCTTAAAGAAAATGAATAAGTTTCTGATCATAGCTAGTGTTTTTTATCCAAGAAACAAGATGAAGTTTGCTGGGTATTGTTTTGATATGTTTATGGCAAGAACAATGCATAATTTAAGGACTGATGATTTGAAGCAGCTATTTGAGGAGTACCACGAAGCTTTAACAAGGACTGTGAATTCATCATCACAGTCACCAAATTTGCAGTCATCTCGATCTCAGAGTCAACATCACAGTCACAATAACTCAAAAGATATGGATTAAGAGGTTGATGGATATGAAAGGCTGCATATGAGATACAAAGAGATGGTGCAAGAGATAGGGAATCAAGATTCTAGTACTGAGCTAGAGATGTATTTGAAAGAAACAATTGAAATACCAATAGGTAATCCTATTGAAAACCATTTGATGTTATAGGACGGTGGAGAATCAATGCTGCCAAGTATCCTATCTTAGCCGCAATAGCCAAAGTTGTTCTTGCTATGCAAGTGTCCTCAGTTGCATCTGAGTTTGCATTCTCTACAAGTAACCGTATCCTTGATCCATGTAGGAGTTGTCTAACTCATTACATGATAGAGGTATTAATGTGCACTGAAAAGTGGCTCAAGTATGAGATTTGCATGAATGAAACAGGAGTTGTTACAAATCAACATTCAAATATATCCGTTTTCGAAAATTCAAATTGCAACATACGCAAAAAAAGTTTGTATTTTTTATACATATTTTATTGGGCTGTGTTAGTGTTGGGCCTATGTTAGTCGGTCTAATATTTTGTATTAGGTCACATAATTATGTGTTGTATCTTGATGTATATAAAGGCTACGGCCGTAGTACGTAATAAACAAGAAACCCTTTTACAACTACCAAAACTTCTTGACATGGTATCAAATTTCTTCCGCTGCCTACGAGATCTTTCTCTTTGTTTGTTTCTTCTCTTTTTTTATTCTTGACCTAAAAAATTCACCTATCTCTCTTAGTGATTTTTTTCTTCACTATGGCTTCCTCACCTTCAGCATCAGCATCTACTATCTCTGCTTTGTCTGAACTCACGACTCCTTCACGTGTTAAAAGTCGGCTTACGATTTCTCCATATAATTTATCCTTTGGTGATAATCCTGGTACCTTGATCTCCTAGCCACTATTGCGTGGTCACAACTATGATGAATGGGCAACCAACCTTCGCTTTGCACTTAAGGCACGTAAGAAATTTGGCTTCGCTGATGGCTCTATACGTTAGCCTGACAAAACACATCGGACTTCGAAGATTGGATTGCTAATAATGCTTTAGTGGTTTCATGGATCAAGCTTACCATTGATGAGAGTTTGTCTTCTTCATTATCTCACACTGATGACTCACATGAGCTTTGGACACACATTCAAAAGCGATTTGGTGTGAAAAATGGACAGCGTATTCAACATCTTAAGACAAACTTAGCCAAATGTCGCCAAAAAGGACTTGCAATCGAGGCATATTACCGTAAGCTTACTCAATTGTGGAGAAACTTGGCTGACTACCAACGCGCCAAGACAATGAAGGAAGTGTGCCGAGAACGAGAGGAGGACAAGCTTCACCAATTTCTCATGGGATTGGATGAAACAATATATGGATCGGTGAAATCTTCGCTTCTCTCGCGGTTACCACTTCCTAGCCTAGAAGAGGCTTATAATACGCTTTCTCAAGATGAGGAATCAAAGTTTTTGGGTCGTCTTAATGAAGAGAGGACGGATGGAATGAGTTTTGCTGTTCAAACATCATCTCGTACTCATCGCCAGTTCGTCCGAAAACAGAGTTACCTCCGTGACATGTACTGATTGTGGCTGTGTTGGGCATCTCTCCGGAAATTGTTTTCAACGCATCGGCTATCCGCATTGGTGGCCTGATAAGTCTAAACTCAATTCTGGAAATAGTGGTGCAGGTCGCGGTGCTCATACTTCCTCTGTTGGTTCAATGAAAAGCTCGGTTCCAAATGTTGTTCATGTTTCTACTGTCTCTGTGCAACAAGCATTACTTACCGTTGCAAATCGTATTGGCATAAGTGGACTTGATGATGAGCAATGGAAACTTTTGAAACTGATTCTTGAAGAACGAAAGGCTCCTTCTTCAGAGAAACTTTTTGGTAAGTTTTTTTTATTGAATCTTGGATAATCGATACCGGCGCCTCTAATCATATGACAGGAACATTGGAGTTCTTAATTGCTATATGTGGTATGGCACCAGCTTTAATAAAATTACTCGATGGTCGCTTCACTACTGCTACCAAACAGGGGCGAGTCTCTCTAGGCTCCGATCTTGTTCTTCAAGTTGTCTACTTTGTTAATGGCCTTCACTGTCATCTTATTTCCGTCTAACAGTTAACTCGAGACAGAGGTTGTGTTTTACAAATCACTGATAACCTTTGTGTGGCATTGTCGGTTGCTGATTGGCGGAGGTGAACAACTTAATGGGCTGTATTTCTTTAGAGGATTGGATGTTGCTGCTGCTTACAAGGTCAATTCAGTTTCCATGGATGTGTGGCATTGTCGGTTAGGTCATCCCTTGTCTAAAGCAATGGAGATGTTGCAGTTTTCTGATTTTCGTAGTAGTGGTTTTGATTCTAAAGGTGTTGAAGTTTGTATTCATGCCAAAACAAACACGTGGATCTTTTCCTTTAAGTATCAATAAGACGCATTTTCTGTTTGAATTAATACATTGCGATCTTTGGGGTCCTTATCGTATTACTGCTCTTTGTGGGTCTTGGTATTTTCTCACAATTCTTGATGACTACTCTCGGGCTGTGTGAATTTATCTTATTCCTTCTAAACGTGAGGCACCACAACATCTCAAGAATTTTCTTACCATGATTGAAAGGTAAGTTATTACTACAGTGAAAACTATTCGAATTGACAACGGATCTGAATTTGTTTGTCTCTCAAATCTTTTCACCGAACAAGGCATTATTCATGAGACGTCATGTATTGGGACTCCCCAGCAAAATAGATGCGTTGAATGGAAACATTGTCACATTTTAAATGTAGCGAGGGCTCTCATGGTTTATGCTCATCTTCCACTAGAGTTCTGGGATTACTGTGCTCTCACGGCTGGTTATCTTATTAACCGTACTCCCACACTGTTGCTCAATGGTAACACTCCTTTTGAACTTATTTATCAACGTCCACCACCCATGAATTATATATGGGTCTTTGGGTGTTTATGTTATGTTCATAATCAAAAACATGGCGGAGATAAATTTGCTAACACGTAGTATCAAATCAGTTTTCTTGGCTATTCTTTTGGCAAAAAGGGTTGGAGAGTTTATAATCTTGAGACGGGACTGTTTCTATATCACGAGATGTAATTTTAAATAAGTCCAGCTTGAGGGGGCGGAGGGGGTAATGGGCTGTGTTAGTGTTGGGTTGGGCCTCTGTTAGTCGGTCTAATCTATTGTATTAGGTTACATAATTATGTGTTGTATCTTGATGTAAATAAAGACTACGGCCGTCGTAAGTAATAAACAAGAAACCCTTTTACAACTACTAAGGCTTCTTGACATATCTTTTATGTAATAAACTAAATTTAAAAATAAATAAGATTATTTGTGAGAAATAAATTTAAAAATTTAAAAATAAAAAAATAATATTTTGATTTTTTATGGAGAGGTTTTAGAAATTTTGTTAAATCTTATTATTTCTATATTTTAAATAAATAATTAATATCAGTGGCATGACATAGTAAATAAATTTGAACCCAAAAGATTTTTTCAAAAACTGCTAACATAGATTTTATGTATGAAGTATAAGCCCTTTTCTCATTGGTACAATCGCTAACTAAACAAATGTTTAAATATTTTTAACTAATTCAAACTAGTTTACTAATCAAAGCCAATCAAAAATTTAAAACGTTGAAAAGTAAGAGGATTTTGTTTGGTTTTTTTGTTCAATGAAGAGAACTATTTTTTTGGTGTAGAAAATTCAATAAAGAGGATAAGATTATACAATTGTCGTTCGTTAATAATAGCTTTTGTTTTGGCAGGCCAGGTCTTTTCCTTCTTACTAAACCCCTCTTTCCTAGTAGTTCAGTGAAACAGAAGCTGACAAAAAAATAATGTCACGATACACTAGACTGAAGGGTGTATACTCAAAGTCTCTACTCAAAAGTCTCCTCTACGTGGCTTATATAAACTACACTCGAGTTAACTTTTTATATTATCCCTATTCTACACATACTCACATAGTCATAGAGAATAAAAAAATAAAAATGACTTCGCTTACATCTAAGTACGATGTCTTTCTAAGTTTTAGAGGAGACGACACTCGCCGCACCTTCAGCAGCTTTCTCTACAAGGAATTGGTTCGAAGGAACATACGAACTTTCAAAGACGACAAAGAGCTGGAGATTGGTCAGAGGATTTCCCCGGAGCTTGATCGCGCCATCGGGGAGTCGAGATTCGCCGTCGTTGTGGTCTCTAAGAACTACACTGCGTCTTCTTGGTGCCTAGAAGAGCTCAGGAAGATCATGTATTTCGAGAACCAGGGTTCGATGACGGTGATACCCATCTTCTACGACGTGAATCCGATGGATGTGAGGTTTCAGATTAAGAAAGTCGCTGAACATTTTGAGAAGCACGAGGCTAGAGAAGATCATGAGAAAGTGCTTTCATGGAGGCGAGCATTGTGGGATTTGTCGTATATCTCCAGCCCTTGTTCATGGAAATGGTAAACTTTCCTAACTTAAAAGATTTATCATGTTATTAGGACTAAACCTATCTTTAAAGATCTCTCGCAAAAGTCCATAGATTCGTTGGTTCTAGTGGCGTTTGGGACGAGACCATATAACCTGCTTTTATTTCAGGTTTGAGAGGATGTACGAGTTTCGATCAGAACCTCTTAGTTATTTTTTTAAGTTAGTAATTTGGTGATATATATTGAATTTGTATGGTTAAATTTAATTGAATATCAAAATATTAAATTTTTATTGTTACATCTGAATCGAATCGATAGATATAATTTTTATTGTTAAGTCTGGTTTAAATCGATGCTACAATTTCAATTTTTTTTTTCTCTATAGTGAAGATGATTTAAAGATAGTCAACGCAGTTGCTGAAGATATATCAAATAAGCTGATGATTGTGACAAGTAGAACAATAAGCAATGGGAGGAACATAGTGGAGATTGATAAACACATGAAGGATCTTAACCGTTTAATGGATTTGAACTCCAAAAAAGGATTGAGAATGGTTGGGATTTGGGCAAGAGGATGCAATGCTAGATCGGCTCTAGCTAAATATGTTTATCAGACAACTTGTCAACACTTTGAAAGCCATTGTTTCTTGGGAAACGTGAGAAAGATTTCTCAGGGTCGCCATATACACGTGGAGTTTCAGAAATGTATGCAAGGAAAATACTGGACGAGTTATCAAAGTCTCAAGACACAAAGGGTTCTGCTCGTGGCAGACGACGTTGATTCGCTTGAACAGTTACATGCTCTTAAAGCACATTTTAGAGACTTTGGTCCGGGGAGTGTTGTTATCATCACTACACAAGACAAGCAGCTGTTGATTTCTTATGGTATAAAGCTTGTCCACGAAATAGAGTTTTTGAGATTCCACCGATTGCATAGTCGATTCTTCCGAACATTAGCCTTTAAAAAGAGAGACATAAATGCCACGAAATGTTTTCGTTCGCTCTTTCTTTTCCTTTTAATAGCTGGAATGTTTTGGTTGTATATGGGGATGTTTTTTTCATCATCTAGACGCAGTATCTAGATGCATTTATCAACTTTTGTTCATTTTTCTCATATTATAAAATGTTTCTAGATGCAATAATTGAATGCAACTGAAGGAAAAAAAAATTGAATATTCTCGATGTGATTAAAACAAGTGTTTGGAAGCACAAGTCCGTTTCACTTTACAAAAGTCTAAAATACCCTCATTTGAATTATAATTTAACATTATTTTTCTTTTTCATGTTTGTTCTTTTGTAAAACTCTAAAATAATTTTTAATACAATAACAAAAAGATATTAAAATCTCTGCAAAAAACTCATTTTTCCGCAAAAATTGAGAAATTAAGCACATGTTAAAAGTTGTATATATAGTCATTGTAAATTGTTAAATCAATTTATTTAGTTACGGTCAAAACATGGATAATCCATCAAAATGATTTTCCATCTCTTGATGTTACCATTTGATCTTATGTTTTATAACACTTGGCCTCCAAGGCTCCAAGTCACGGATAAAAAGCAAATTTCAACATGGACAATTTCAAAAGTGTCTACCTTAACTTTTTATTTGAATTTAATGTTAAATTATATTTAAAGACAAAATAGCGTTGTTACAACTAGTGCATCAGATACTTTTAAGAGTTTGAAAAATTAACAAAATTGATAAAAAAAAAAATGAAGAGATAAAAATAACTCCTAGAATCGAACCAGAGCTGAAGTCCTTTTTCATAACGTCGATCTCCTATTCGTTGAATGATTATGAGTTGATTACGAACTTGTTGATCAATCCACTTGATTAGTTGGCTTGCCGTCTTCAAAGGTTTTCCGTGTCTCCTCCCATTTCTCTCTCGCCAGATAGTGTGATAGTAACTTGAAATATATATCGAACAAGAAAACTCTCTATATGATCCAGTTGATGGGAGGTAGAAACTACGTGATTAGTATTTATGTTGTTTTAAAGCCTAGTGTATACATGTTGCAATCTTTAAGTGAAACATTCGCTCTCATATTGGCTGAATAACTAAGTGTCCTTAATGAATACTCCTATCCTTTACCCTTTTTAATTTTAAATTTTGTAGAGAACATGATTTTTAAAAAAATATGTAAATCAAAAAAAAAAATAGAATCCGATTATTAATATTTTATATAAATATTAATTCACTGAGAGATTGTATAGTAAGGTTGAAAGCTGTACAAAATAAAAATTATATTAACATATTGTAATAAATTATTACAATTTTGAAAGCTTAATAAGGAAGTTGGTAAAATAAGTTTTTAGTTTAACATATTTAAAAAGATTGAGATATTATTTAAAATTTGACTACTAAAAATATATTACAAATCACACATTTTTAAATTATATTAAAATAAATTATTAAGGTGTTGCATTACAAATTCGAAATCTAAAAAAGGAAATTTTGTATAATTATTTTTGCAGCGCACCCTTAAGTGGATAACCTTCAACAAACGCCGCACTTGAATTTCGACCAGAGTACACACCATAAGTTTATCCTTTCATCTCTTAAAAACGACAACCTTTCATCTCCATCTTATCCTTCTAAATATTTTGTTACTTTTTTTTCTTTTATATATATGAAGGGAGAATTACTTAGATATACCACAATTGTATGTATATTCCTTAAACAGCCAAATCTTTTTTTTATTCCTTAGATGTCTTTCAAAATGGGTGTAATTACAATTAACACCCTTTATCTGTTTTCTCTTAAAATTGCCACATCAGATCCGAAATTGCCACATCATATCCGAAATTGCCACATCATCATCGACAGTTATTCTTTCATTAATTATCAAAAGCGAAATTGAACAGTTTCTTTCTCTTCACTGTTTACAATTGAAAAAAAAAAAAAAAAAAGTTTCTCTCTCGCGACAGAGAAATTCCTCGCCGCCGACGACGAAGACAATACTCGCCTTTTACACAGTACTCGCCGCCGACGCTCTCTCTGTTTCGGTATTCAAACTCGCGTTTAGTCGCTGTGAAGAGAAGAAGTCGCCGTGAGTTCGTCGTAGTTTCTTTGCTGCATTCGAGACCTTTCGTATTCCGGTAAGTGTTGAACTGTATTTCCGACTATACTCGATCGTGTTTGTTTTTGCTTATTATGGTTGATTGTCGCCGTCGTTTGCTCTATTCATTCGACGGCTGTGTTACAGTATTCGTGACGGCTGATTTGTCAGATCTATAGATTCGACGACTGAGTTACTTATCATGTTATGGCTGATTTACTTATCATGTTATGGCTGAGTTGTCTTAATTTGTCATTGATGCGGCTGAGTTATAATATTTGGTATGGCTCACTTAGTAACTTGTTTTAAGTTGTGGCTGAGTTATAGTTTATGTTGTGGCTGAGTTATAGTTTATGTTGTGGCTGAGTTATAGTTTATGTTGTGGCTGAGTTATAGTTCATGTTGTGGCTGAGTTATAGTTTATGTTGTGGCTAAGTTATGATGTGTTTATACTTATTTCAGATGGCTGCAGAACAAGCAATGCGTTACCCACCGAGACTTTACGAAGAAGGGATGTCTAGCCTCAAGAAAAAAAGCATGTGTACCTATTTTAGGATGGCAGATTTCCCTGGGGTTAGGGAATCAATTGGACAAGACGCGTGGGATGAAATCAAGCAATTACTTCTTGGAATAGTTGCTAAATTAGTTGAAAGCAAATTCGTTTGGTCTGCTAAGACTGTACACTATCTATTGTGTAATCAGTTGAGAATTAAACACAAAGAGCTTTGGTGTTTAGTTGGTGGCCAGCCTATAAGGTTTGGTTTGAATGAATTCGCTCACCTCACGGGGTTAAACATAGATCCAACTCCATCAGAGAAGTTTGAACCTTCAGTTGACTTCAAACAGTTCTTAACAGAAGAATTGAAAGTTCCCGGTGGGGAAGGTCCAACATATGATGAGCTACTTAAAGGATTATTAGTGTGCCGGTCATGGTCTGTTGAGAAGCGCAAGTGGTTGGGGCTATTGATTTTCTAGCCATTGGACTCTACTGCGTGCATCATAACTCACGGATACCATTTGAAGCTGCAAAAATAGTTTCTGATGATAAAGCCGTGAAGGCTTATCCATGGGGTCGGGTCGCATTTGAGACTATGGTTGATAATGTGAAGTGCTTGAATACTAGAGGTAGTTCCTACACCCTTGGTGGGCCGGTTTACGTGTTACAAGCTTGGGCATATGACTCTATCAAATGCTTAGGAGAGCGATTTGGGAATTTAGTCGAGAATGAAGAGATCCCGTTGTTTCGATGGCCTGGGACCCGTACACGTTCAGCATTAGATGTGGCCATTGCTGAAGATATCAAAAAGTATAGTGAGGTAACTGAAATCCGTCTGATCTCTGTTTTATGTTATGACTGAGTTACGATTTAGTCATGGCTGATGTATATATTAGTAATGGCTGAGTTATAATTTAGTTACGGCTGAGTTATATATTAGTGATGGTTGAGTTATAGTTTAGTTACGGCTGAGTTATAATTAAGTTATGGCTGAGTTATAGTTTAGTAATGGCTGAGTTATAGTTTAGTTATGGCTGAGTTATGTATCTGTTTTGTCTTTATGAGTTATACTTATTGATGTTTGTCTTCTAATGTAGCTGCGTGTGAGTACAATGGTGATGAAGGGTGATGTAAGTGAGCTTTTTCACACGTGGCCAAATCAGACAGAAGAAGACCCAGAACTTGTCAACTTGGTCAATGACATACATGAAGAAAAGCTTGTTAAAGGTTTTTGGGATGTGAAAGTGAATGAGGACAAGAAGAAGAGTGGAAAAGTTAGAGCAGCGGTTGAGTCTGAATCTCCCACTGCTAAGAAGCAGAAAGTTGAAAAGGGTGGTGATTCTGGTGCAGAAGATGCACAGAAGAAGAAGAAGAAGAAGAAGAAGAAGATAAACGAGGAGGTAAAGCCTCATGAACAGAAGACTAAGAAGAAGAAGAGTGAGGAGGTAAATGTAAGTTATATGTTATATAGTCATATAACTTTGTGTATGTTTTGATTATAAATTTTTGTGTATGTTTTGCAGGCTGATAGTGAAGAGGACGATGCTGGTGGAAAGGCGTCACTTAAATTACTCGTGGGTATGGTTTCAGAAATGAAATCAAGTATTGAGACCATGAAATCAAAGGTTGAGACCTTTGATGATAAGTTCACACGTGTTGATGAAGAATTCGTCAAGATGAAAGGCCTAATTTCCTTCGTTGCCAGAAGTGGAGGCCTAGCTAGTCTCATGAGTGGAGGCAAAAACATTCAGAATGACAACACATTACCACTCAAGAGCATCTCCAATATAAGAATCAGGGATGCTTTTGGGAAAAAAAAAGAACAGACACCTGAAATTCAGAAGAAACCGTCAAGCCAATACTACTCTGTTACTAGTCCCCCGGTAAGTTGAGTTCTCTTAATTTTATGTAATGGCTGAGTTCTCTTAATTTTATGTAATGGCTGAGTTATTCGATTTTTTTAATTAGTTGTTTATGTTATGGCTGAGTTATCAAATACATTACGGCTGAGTTGTTTATGTTATGGCTGGGTTACCAGATACATTACGACTGAGTTGTTGTATGTTATGGCTGAGTTATATCTCTGTTTTGGCTTAGTTGTTTTATGTTATGGCTGAGTTATATCTCTGTTTTCGCTGAGTTGTTTTATGTTATGGCTGAGTTATACCTCTGTTATGGCAGAGTTGTTTTGTGTTATGGCTGAGTTATACCTCTGTTATGGTAGGGTTGTTTTGTGTTATGGCTGAGTTGTTTTATGTTATGGCTGAGTTATTTTGTGTTATTGCTGAGTTGTTTTGTGTTATGGAGTTACAAGAGAAGAAAATTCAGGAAGAAGAAGAAGAAGAAGCAGTTTTGGACAGTGACATTAATCGGTGCATCAAGAATCTAAATAAGGATTTCGATGAGGCCACTAATAAGAAAGATGGTCTTCTTGATTTCATTGAGAAATCTCCCTCTCCTGCTAATAAGAAAACGCGGCCTGTGACGCGGAATTTAGAAGCACAGCAGAGGAAAGAGGCCGAGGCTCAAAAGAAGAAAGAGGAAGCACTGAAAAAGAA